CACCCTGGAAAGCAACTTGTCGGTGAAACCGGGGAGCTCGAATCCAAGCTTCCGCACCATCAGAAACTTGATTCCTACCACCATGCCAGCTGCAAAAGCGATGCTGTTGAAAATGGAATCTGGAGCAGTTCTGCAGAAGAGTCAGAGAAAGATCACTGGAGACCGACAAACATACGCCAAGAGTACTGGATCTGTCTCGAGTGTGGCAATTAAAATGCCCTCAGAGAGGTAAAGAGTCTCTTTGCCCCATGTGCTGATAACATTCAGACCTCGGGGCCGGACTTCGACTAACCAATCTTTACCGATAGACTCGGTGGCCTCGATAGATTGGTACATGGCGGAATATAAGACGACGAGTCGACAAGTCAATGAAGTGATCCACATCATGTGAAAGTGAAATTGGTCATAGTCCAGTATCACTGTCGCAGAGGTGAGCTTGAATAAAAAATACAGGTCGAGAAAACCTACGTTCGAGAGGTGCCATCAACCGACGAATTCGACCAATAGAGCTCAGTTGGTCAGCCATTTCGTCGTACCAAGTCTCCAAACCCTCCTTTGAATTATCCCAGCGAATGGAACAAGCCTTCTCTGTGACAAAAAACAATTCCGAGAGCAATCGCAAGCGAAGGTCCCGGCATCCAGCTAGAGTCGAAGGCTCTTGCGGCGTCAACGGAATAAAGTAGATATCCGCTGAAGTCCGACGTGATAATGGTGTTCGCCCACTTCCGACACATAACCTATGACGATTCAACCAAGGAAAGAAGAATTAATTGCTCAAGCTCACGATGACTCGACGTTGGTTAAAGCAGCCCACTGTCGGCTCAGTCAGCGGTTAATCTTCGATGAGGCCAAGATTAAGTCTCACCAATCGAGCTTTGCTTGATAGAGCAGTCATCTCCACTTCATCCATACTGGACTTGGCTTCCCGGACCGATATGAGCTTACCAGCCGATTCGTTAATGCGGAGATTGAGAGCCATGCTGATCGCTGAAGCAATCAGCAATCGTCCGTCTCTTATGCCGCTCTCTGTGGATCCACAAATCGGGGACCACAATGAAAGAATAAGAAGCGATTGGATAGAGTCTAGCGATTCGGCCGAGCGTGGGTCAAAAATCATCTTCACGACAGTGGATTCAGTCAATTTTTGTAGACGAGGCGCGACGAGACTTCGTAATGAAGGTTCTATATGGCGTGAAGCGACCGTACAACAAACGAGGTTGAGGAGAGGATTGAGAGAATCTCTGATCAGGGATATGTTGACCCAGGGAATGTACTTTGTATCAAAGCTTGACTGGAGTGAGCGCGAGCAGATTGAAAGGAAGTAGAGTACTGACATGTCGAGTAAAAAATCTATCTGAGGTCTTGGAAGAATGTCCTCGAGACACCGGTCCGAAAAGACTGGAATATAAGCAGGAGCAGTTTCAAAGGGCTGCCTGAGCAACTCTTGAAAAGCGGATAGGGGCCCTGCCCAGTCCACAGAAGCAGGTGCTCCGGTAAAAGACCACATACTTTCTGGCCGCGGGAAGGTCGGATCTCCTGAAGAAGGTAAGAGGGTAATGGTTGAGGACGACTATATGAAGGCCCGACATTTGAGCTGGGCGAATCTTGAGGAGATTCCGGTGAAATGTAGGACTGGAAAATGCTCCGGTCCATCTCACGATACGAGCATTGTAGGTTCAGGACCTATTAGACTTCAGAGTCAGTCCTAGGTGCAAAATGATAACCTTGCCTTGCTAAAGGCACGTCAGCCGCAGCTCTTTGTACCAGACGACATGAACTCACCAACGATGACATTGAATAGGGAGCTGTCCAATAATTTGATCCAGGATTTCACAGCGTGTTTTCTGCTTTCGACAAGAATTGCAGGCCTATGGGGCATGAATGAAAAAAAGCCCGGGCTGCAGAAAGGTGACAAACCTGGATTGATTTCGACCTTTTGGATTGCTTGCCGCGAGCTCCAGGCGCGGCGTCGTCTGGCTGTTGTGGGTCTCTTGACCGTTTCATGATTGAAGAGTGCGAGTGGGACTTCTGTATAAGCGCAGTTGGAGGTTTACATATTCGAAGAAATCTATAATTAGCCGAGGCTGTTTCTCCCGACTCTTCAGGAAATGTCAGGGATGGCTGAACAGATCACAGCTTTGCTCAGCGAGGACCGGGAATCTGTGGGCTCTGAAATTGAAGGCAAGGTCCGAGGTGGCTCACCGAAACAAACTGACTTGACTTTCAGTCTTGCAATCCATTTTCGGCGAGGATTCTCTTTCTTTATGGCCCCAAGAAGAACCTTCCCCTACCATTCGCTACCAGGTCCTTCTCAAGTAAGTTTGTGTTACAATGAGCAATATCGGCCTACAGTACGCCTACAGTCTGGCGGCACCTCACGACCAAATTTCCATAAAAATACTCGTGTCAATACCGCCAACATATCCAGCTTCTTCTCCTCCTCAGCTTCAGCTTCTGTCGCGCTATATAGGCGACTTTGCTGCAGACTCTAATCTATTTGGGTCGATCCTCAAGACGTTTATTTCTGTCGCTGGAGTTCAGTGGTCTGCTGATTCTGTTTGCGTCTTTGACGGCTTGGAACATGTCATTGAGGGCTGTACTCGGTGGTACGAAGAACATCTCACGTCCGAAAAAGTCCAGTCGCTAATGAGACTTGAAACGGAATCCCCACAACTTCCGTTGGTGCCGCAAAACCTCAAGGACAATTTTCTATCCGAACCCTCTATTTTACCGAAAGGAATACAAATCTTTGAAGCCGACCCTATCTTTGACAGAAAGAGTATATTTTGTGGTCGCGCTTGTCGTATCTCAGATCCAGCCGAGGTCCCCATGTCCATTTCTGCTGCGATTCGTTACTGAAACCTGTCCAGGTTCCCTTGATCCTCGCACATCTATCTTCAGATCGACGAATAGCTCGCGCAGCACATCCTGTCATAAATGCCTGGCGATGTCACATGAATGGGGTACTTTATCAAGGTATGTGTTATGACGACTCTAGAGTCACCTTGACAGAGCCCTAGACAACGACGACGACGGTGAGACCGCTGCAGGTTCCCGCTTGGCGCATTTGCTCCAAATTATGGTAGGTTAGCCCCTCTCTGTCTTTTTATCTCCTTACTGTCTTGTAGGAAGTTCAAAATGTGCTGGTTATAGTGACACGCTATTTTGGGGGAATTCATCTTGGTCCCGACCGTTTCAAGCATATAAATCAAGCCGCGAGAAACGCACTGGAGCTCGGCGGATTCTTGGACAATCCTGAAGGTAGGAAGCTAAACTCGGGACGAAGTAGGAAGAATTGAAACCTCTTCATAATATTACACAATTTTCTACCTCTGACGTCTTTTTTTGCTGGGCGATTCGATCACCTTCTCTTCATCCTCTGACAATTCCGACAAATCCGACAATGGCCCAGTGAGGAGCAGAGCATCTGGGGAGCTGTGCAAGTCCCAAATTTCCTCCTTCTGGCCACCTGAATTCAGCATTGTACCTGGTCCCTGCGTTGGCGGCATCGTCATGATACGATTTTTGACAGGTGTTTCCTGAACCAAGACCACGCCTTCTGCCTTTTCCTTCACTTTCTCTGGAGGTTTCGCTACCACGACATTCTGAGTGCTCGTCGTAGCCTTTAAAGATTGTTTGGGCTTCAAGTTTCGTGACATGCTGATTTCTCGAGACAGAATACGCTTGGTGCCCACGCTTTTTGCTCGTTGTTCCTCCTGCTCTTGAGCAAGTGTAACAGACAGCGAACGAGAGCGAGCCAAAGTCGGGGCAGGCGACGGTCGTCGAGGAGCAGCCCCGGTAACCGTGACCAAGGGACCCTTCTTTCGCAATGGTGGTGAAGGGTCTGATTCGTCGTCGGCGAATGGGGAGATTGGAAAAAGCTTGGAGCGAAGTAGCAGACAAGCTGCCTGAGCTCTCGAATTGAACCTGACAAACATGAGCCTGCGTCGGCAAACTCCAATTCGACTCACTGAGGTTCAATGATATCTTGTAGAAATGCTTGCATCCAATCGTACTGATCAGGTCGAGATTCAGCTGCAGTCAACCCGCCCATGAGCTGCCAAGTAGATAACTTGTCCATGAATGATTCTAGTCGATCCGCTATAGACGGCTGTTTTGGCGCATCTTTGTGAAAAGCGCGCTTGCGACGTTGAACAGACGATAACTGGGGTGATGCTGGAGGAGGACCAGGAAGAGACAGCAGCAAGAAATGGAACAACATTTGAATCTGCAATCTGGGCAATATTTCAGTTGATAACTGGACGGATTAGAAATTACTCACTCTCTCCGTTCCATACGTTCTAGCCATTTCTTCTTCCATTGTTCATCTGCTTCGTCCGACGCGTCGTGACTGAAGGCATACCATAGCATCGCCACCTCTGTTTCGTCAAGTCCTTCGCTTTCAGCACCACCGATGACTCGAGGAACCTGGACATTGTATTTGTTGGCTGAAGATCGAGGTGTAAGGAGACAAGGTGCCAGTAGAGCGTGAAGAGGGTGCGGCAGCAACAAGTCTGACGACGACGCGTATTTGACGCGCTCAAGCGACGGTATGAGCAGCGACAATGGCATTATAGACTTGTCAAATTCAGCGATCAAAACAGATACAAAAGAGGTCAGTATTCACCTCGGGAAGCCAGAGGAATTGAATATATGTTCTGTAGATATATGCTTCAGGGACATCCGGGCAAGGAACATCGACGAATGGAAAGTCCTTGGAGATTGTCTTTTCCTGTGCTAGCGTCCATGGATGAGCGGACGACATGAGAGAGAGAGAGAGAGCGACTGGCCGCTCACGTGATGCCCTTGCCCATTCGGAAAGTTGGAAGTATAGACCGCTCCTCGTAAGTATAAATCGCAATGTATCAAGTTCCTCGCGACAAGGGAATGAAGATATGTGTTTGAACTGGCAAGGCACAAAGGTAGCAGATCGTGGACTTGAAAAATGAAATAAAAAAGCAGCTTTGGCGGTTTCAAGTGTAGAACGTTTAATAAAAAGAGGGCCTGACCGGGAATTGAACCCGGGACCACTCCCATCCATTTTCAAGGCCTCAGTAAGACCGGGCAAACGCCCGAAGGGAGTATCATACTACTAGACCATCAGGCCACGAAAAGATGAACAAGACGTTTCATGAAGACTCACCCAGTACGCGCCTCCGGGACTTCGATCGCTCATACTAGCTCGATTCCAGGTAAAACTGCGGTCGGTCTCCATGAATACTGTGTCTTCGAACAGTAAATTCAAAGGATTTCAGCCACCGCCCCTGTCTCAAGCCCCTGTTGGTCGAATGAAATCAGGACGATTCACACGTGACACAACGCGTCTTTCATCCTGACCTCGACAATCAACGCCTTTCCACGCACACCTTTTCGGTTAAACTCACAGCTCAGTGAAACGCCTGCGACCGCGTGAGTATTGTCACAGTGGGATATTGGCTTGCTTGACATTTTGCAGGAATCAATCGACCAGGTGAGACTGATCAGTGGCCCAATTCAATTCTGCTCGCAGTGGTGACCCAAGTTGCGCAAGACCGTTGGATAGCCCAGAACCCTGGGAACAGGAGCCTGACGCAAGCTCTGACTCGGTCATTCAGAGCAAGACTATGGCTGCGAGGTACGTCGATTCTTTCCTTTCTAGGTCGATGGTAGTGATTCTTGTACAGAAAGAAATTGAGAATGAGGACTGCTGGTTTCTCTGATGAAGAATCGTGAGCTCTCCTTTCTTGATTTCCCTCATTCATGACATATATGCAGTACCACGGGGTCCAAACCTGCTAGGTATCAATTGACATTCCATTCCAGGTAAGACGAAAGCCATTGCCGCCTCCCTTTCGATACACATCTTCTGTAGGAAGGCAAAAGTCAGGGCCACTATCGCGGTGGATATTGATTTCGAGGAAGAGATACAGGGAAACGAGTACGTCAAAGCCATTTCCCAAGCGATTCACGGCTCATCTCACCAGCCAACATATGACGCAAATGCACGAGAACTTCATCGAGATTATGACAAATTTGGCCGAAAATCTTCTCAGAGATAATCTCGCCCGTGAAGCTGCCCAACAAGTCACTATTGCCGCTGCACGAGCCGCTGCTGCCGAAAAACACCAGGACGACATGGCCCTTGTTGCCGACAGACTGAAAGTCCTTCAATTGGAAGAAAAATTACAGAAAAATCGACGTGCGGAGATAGACATGGAGACTCTCAGAGAGAGTTTTTCACAATTGGAAAGCAATCCTGATATTCTGGACCGCAAAATGAAGATTTTGGAGATCCAACTTCGAAAAATGGACTCGGACAACAAGAGCAAGGAGCTCGAGATCGAGTTGCTCCGTCTCAACAACCTCTGGTACGCATGATTCTCCCAAGCTTGAGCACTCTAACTGTTTCCAGACAACACCAAGATACTGTCTTTTGAACTGTTTCGTATTAATGTCCACCGCTTCTTTGGACTGGTAGGTGCCTGCTTTTCTGCAGTATGATCCGGCTAACGATCAGCACCTTCCTAGTAGCTCGTCTCGTCCCATCATCGAACTCTTTTTCATTTCTTCTGACATTCACAAATTCTTTCGCATTTCAACCTGGCATGAACATGAACTTTGTCTCTATCATCCTGTCTCGACTCGTTCAACTTTCTTCAATCGCCTCTCGATTCTATATCATCACAATTCATTCTCTCTCGCATCGGATACCTACATGACACTGCAATGTAATACAAAGGCACTCGCACAATACTACATCTGAAGGAAAACATATTCCTGTTTAATCGGTTTGGTATGCTTCGGCACAAACTCGAAGAGCGCTTCAAAGGAGGGCAGGTCATCCTACGGCCCTTATTACCGACAGACTGAAAGTCCTTCAATTGGAAGAAACAATCGAGAACAGTCCATGTGCGCGGATGGAAATCGAGAGCGCCAAGATGCTCTGGGAAAGAGAAAGATTTTTACAGTTGGAGAATGACCCGCAACTCTTGGATGAAAGAATTAGAATCTTGGAACTGGCAGACTGGAGACGGCTAACACGGTTAAACGCGAGAAAATAAGATGTCTTCTTGGTACGTAGACATAATTCCTTCGAAGGTGCAATCCTGACTCTTTGTAGAAGACACGAGATTCTGGCTTCGACAACTACTCGCACCGCTCCATGAATATATCTTTGAACAGTAAATTCAAAGAATTTTGAGCCTCTGCCCCTGTGTCAAGCCCCTGTGTTGCTCGGAAGGCAGGAAGATTCACACGTGACACAACGCGTCCTTCATCCTGACCTCGACAATCAACGACTTTCCACGTACACGTAGACCATATCCTTTCCGATTAAATCTCTCTCCAAAAGCTCAGTGAAACTCCTGCGACCTCGACGAAGCAGTGAGTATCGTTACTCGGATCATGGACTGCCTTGACATTCATTCTACAGGAATAAATCGACCAGGTGAGACTGATCAGTGCCCGATTCTATTCTGCTCGCAGTAATGACACAAGACCCTCAGATAACCTAGAAACTTGCGAACAGGACCCTGACACGGTTATTCAGCGGAAGACTGGCTGCGAAGTATCGCGACTTTTCTCTCTCTGTAGGTCGATTGTATTGATTCATGTACAGAAACTTGAAAGAAATCGAGAATGAGCAGCTCTAGTTTCTCTGACGAAGAACTGTGAGCTCGTCTTTCGTGTTGGTGTTTTATCGGTGACATATATGCGCGTTCGATAGTCCCCCAGTAGGAGACGATTCCGAAGAGGAGGAGGAAGAAGAAGAAGAGTACGTCCAAGTCACTTCCCCAGCATTCACAGCTCATTCATCCCTCATCAGAATAGATATAGACCAGCGACACCGGAACCTCATCGCCATGTACAAGCCTCTCGCCGAAAATATTCTCAGATGTAATCTCGCCCGTGAAGCTGCCCAACAAGCGACTATTGCTGCTGCACAAGCCGCTGCTGCCGAAAAACACAAGGACGACATGGCCCTTGCAACCACCGAACAAGCAATTCTTGCCGACAGACTGAAAGTCCTTCAATTGGAAGAAACCTTACAGAAAAATCGACATGCGGAGATGGACATGGAGACTCTCAGAGAGAGATTTTTACAATTGGAAAGCGATCCTGATATTCTGGACCGCAAAATCAAAATTTTGGTGCTGGAAAATCGGAGACTCGATTCGGAGAGAAGAACCAAGAGCCTCGATATTGAGCTAAGCTGTCACATTAAATCCAGGTGTGCTCAATGCCTTCAAGTGTGGACACTCTAACTGTTTTCAGAAATTAAGAAGATACCGCCTTTTGAACTGTTTCGCACCATGTCTCCCCTTCTTTGGATTGTTGGTAGGCGGCTGCTTTGCTGCAGTATGGATGTGGCTGACGATGAACGCCTTCCTTATCTACAGGCTCTCGCTGCGCATCATCGCATTTCGTCTCGTCGCATCATCAAACTTTCTATCATTTCTTTTCCATCGCATACATCGCACACCTGGCGGTACATCATCATTTTGGCATCAACTTCTTTCATGGTATTGACCGCAATAAGTACAAAGTAAATAAACTCGAAAAAATCTGCAAAGCCGCTGACAGCAGCTTCAAATACCAAGGTCACGGACAGTGTCGAACCCTTTCGAACTCTTCCGGAAAGCCATTGAAAAAAAGAGAGGCCTCGATATTTCGGACGAGTCTGTTAAGTCAGGGTATCTGAGGAGCATCAGCCCAATTTACATTCTTCCCGTCTTTTCATCACCGTCCACCGCCGCCTCCGAACACTATGAACTTTGAAGGGATCGCGTCAGGTCTTTCTCTTTGTGAGCATAGACGACTCGATAGGATGTCGCTTCGAGAAAAGAGTAACACTGACTGTCATGAGGGAAGAATTATCGTTCACCATGCAGTTTTCGAGTCGAGGAAGATGGTCTTTGAGGCGCTCTACCCGGCTTGTATCTTTGTTATGATGAATTTCCAGGACCATGTCTCAAGAGAAAGGGAAAGGGCAAGACATTGAGCAGTTTTTAACATTAAACAGATATTCACGAGTTCCGTCCTGTAGCATTCAACTTCGCATGGTCGGGCTTTGTATCGAGCAGCTGTATCCATAAAATCAGATTCCAAAGAACAGTGTAGTTTGTCCAGCGGATGGAATTGAATTCAAGCTACTTTGGCCGAAATAGGCCAACTACCTATTCGTGCAATACGAAAGTAGATGATCGTTTTGAATGACCGGCGATCCAAACAAGGTGCAACACTTGCTCTGACCTACCATGTCAAGTTCTTCTGACTCTGACTCTAGCAGCCGTGAAGCTTCTCCAGAACTGAAGCGGAAAAGGGAATCATCCGACGACAGCAGTGACGAAGAGATTGAAGCTTCCTTCCGGTGGACCTGCACTATCCCATGCTGAAAGACGCAGGCAGAAAAAAAAGGAACAAAAGTCGACTTCGGAAGAATCCAAGCCCAAAAAGCGCAAGCTGGATAAAGGCGCCTCTGATGCTACAACCAAGCGTCAGAACTCTGTTTGGGTAGGCAACATGCTCTTCAAAACGACCGGCGATGATCTCCGCAACTTCTTCGATGGAGTTGGAGAAATTACTCGAATACATATGCCCACTAAAGCTAGTTCAAAGCCAGGTGCAAAGCCAGAGAATCGTGGGTCAGTCTCATATTGTCAATACCTTGCAACGGACATTCATCGCAGGTTAGCTTTGCCTATGTCGATTTTGCTACGCCAGAAGCAAAAGCGGCAGCGATTGCTCGCTCGGAGAACCCTCTATTTGGACGAAAATTGCTCATCAAAGACGGCAAGTATCATTGACTTATCTTGTCCCATGTCTCTTACACTCTTCAGGGGGCGATTTCTCTGGAAGACCATCAGTCCCTGGTGCAGATTTAACAGCAGGAAATTCACTGTCCAAGAGTGGTCAAAAAATTCTTCGTGTACAGAAGCAGCCTCCAGCGCCAACGCTCTTCTTGGGCAACTTGGCATTCAACACTACAGACGATTCCATCCGACAGCTTTTCGAGGCCCACCGTGAAAAGAAGAAGGGAGCAGAAGCTGAGAAGGAACCTTGGATAAGAAAAATCCGGATGGGTACATTTGAAGATACAGGTCACTGCAAAGGGTAAGCCTCATTTTC